GAACGGGGAGGGAGGGAGTGCTCGGAGATCCAAGGTGCAGGAAAATAGCCCCCCCTCCCCTCCGCCAACAACAAATATGGACATCCAAGGATCGGTCCCAAGGTCAGAAGAGGAGGCTCTTGGTCGGATTTATCCTGAGCCAACATTAAATAGAAAAAAAGAGACGAAAGAGAAGTGTGATGTAACTAACGGTAAGATCTGAGGCGAGGAAGGGCTATTAGCAGCCGCTGGCCCTGACAGGGCGTGCAGTCATCGAGCGACGGGCATCACTCTGAAGCCTGCCGCTCCCATTACGCCCCCCATACCCGCCCTTCTCTTCTCTCATCCTTCATTATTCACAGAAACGTGACTGCTTGTGAATTATCGATCATCGCGTTTCTGTGCGGGTATTTTGTTATCTAATTAGTGAGAACTGTCTGTTGTGGTAGCATAGTGCAAAGACAGATAAAGTGGAGGAAAGCAGAGAGGAGTCTCAGATCTGGGGGCGACTTGGCATGAAGAGCCCTCCTCACGGTGACCAGGCACCCGTCTCTGTACCTGGAAGGAGCCTGAGGCGAAGTTGGGCCTTCATCTGCAAAGGTGGCATTATCGCTGAGATTGATGGCAAGTGGTGTCCACCATACTCCAAGCCCCTCCATGCTGTAATTGTACTGCAGTACAGAGCATGTGGGCTCCTTGCAGAGAGTGCCATAAGTGCATTGATGGATGGGGACTGGAGCCCCCATTGATTCAGTAAGCTATTCCGAGAGTGGACCGGGGGGGAGGAGGCGTGGACCCAGGACCTCTGTGCTTTTAACCAGCTGCTGAGTTAGTAGGTTTGGCGAGCCAAGCCTATACTAACTATGGTCACGGTAACCCGGACGTCTGGTGAGGTGCTGAGAAAAGTGGACCATTTAGACATGAAAAAACGTATTTCAATTACACAGACTAGTGATCAAAAGAACCATTTTAAGATCAGAGTGTTCGGCTGTTGTACCCTTGAGCTTTGATCATGGGATACTTTGACCCAAAGTATTTAACCTGAAGTAGGCCCTTCGTAAAATGCTTTTATTAAAAGTGTCAGATGAGCATAAACATTCATTAAGCAATGAAGGGCGCTACCCATCAGACCAACACACTCTGCCTACTCTCATTCGCTAAACATGTGGTTATATCCATGTCCAGTTGCGTAACGTACAGTGTAAGGCTATGTATCATCACTCCTACGTCTAAATGCACATCATCCAGGAAGCCACAGCTACACCAGCACTGAGCCACTTTTATGCATGCATACTGAGCCACTGGGAGGTGTTTCGGGCATGCCCAACTGAGAAGAGGCCCCGGGACAGACCCAGGGATTCCCCCGGAGGAGGTGGAGGAGGTGGCTGGGGAGAGGGAGGTCTGGGCATCCCTGCTTAGACTGCTGCCCCCATGACCCGGCCCCGGATAGGTGGCAGAAAATGGATGTGTTGATGGGAGTACATACTGTGTATGCTGCTGTGACATCATTGTGATATCATTAACCACGGGGATAACTGTTTAATCATGATCTAGAATGGCACATCATGGTCCATTAATGGGAGACACAACAGGCATCCAGGGACCAGACAGATGTCTCACATATGGTAAATGTATGTATGTGATATTAATCTAGTCCAGTTGCTGATTGTAGTCAGTGGTTGTGTTCAATACGTTTCCTGCTACCGCAACCTTTCCCGCATTTAAAAATTGATGCTGGTCTCCGAAGGGAGCGCCGAGGTTGTATTTTAATTAATCTCCTTAATCCAAAATTAATTGCAACCCTTTTTCCACTCTACCATTTTCAGAAGGTTCTACCTCATAGAACAGTTGGTGCTAAATGGGCTGTCAGCTAGGAACCAGACTCACCACAACAGATTATTTTCACAGGGTTATAAATTTGGTGACATGGAGGGGAGGGAAGGTTCTGGGGTACACTAATGCTCTAAAGGGTTCCGTCTGTGCGGTTCTTTTGTGAGTTGGGTCCGATGCACCCAAGGAGACGTAAAACCAAGAAAAGACTCGTCCCGTAATTATCCATGAGCGTTTCTTTCCACTGGAGACGTATATCAGAAGAAAAGATGGGTGAGGAGAGACATGTATGTCTAATCTTGTTTTAATGCAGAAAGGTGCCTGGTGATTGAATGGAGGTCAGCCTGGGATCGATGCCAAATGCCAGGCTATATCAAGTCAGGACAAACGACACTCGGCTCACCTGTCTGACCCAAGATGAAACTGAGAACGTGCAGGCCAGCTGCTCTCTCCATTTTGCCTCCCCCAAATGAAAACAAAAGCCTGACGTTAGTTTTAAAGGTCACCATGCCCCCCCCACACACTCTCTTAGGAAGCACTCTATGTTCCACTTGCAATAAAAATTATTCCCCCAAAAATTTTTACATAAGTTTTGGTTGCATTTGGTGGTCTTCCTCTTAGACATGGTATTTAAATCAGCACCGCTAGCAAAATTTTGACGTTGTTGTTTGAAATCGCTTCAATTCCACACGTGGAAAAAATCTAATTGCTGGTTAAACAGAGCTTAATTTACAATGAAATAGATATAGACCAGTGAAGCATAATTGACCTGTCAGGGTATTGAGCCCAGCCCTAGAGTATTTGTTCATGTAGACAGCCTTCCTTGATGCAATTCCAGGTAAGCGCACAAGGTTTATTCTACCGCATGTGTTTTATTAGTAATGAGGTAATGACCCAGGGGGCTGTGATCTTTCCCTTCTATTAATTACCAGAGATCATTTCCAAAGTGTCTTTCCAGCTTTTGTGGGAATTAATATACAGCACCAATGGCACATGCCCAAATTAATTTCTATGAACAGTTTAATACAAATAGGCATCAAGATGCCGGTCTTGTGACCAATTCAAGAGAAACTGCAGTTGTACCTTCATACAAATTCAATTCAATTTTATTTATATAGCGCTTTTAACAACAGTCATTGCCACAAAGCATTTTACATATAACCGGCCCACCCCCACCGAGCAAGCCTGTGACAACAGTTGCAAGGAAAAACCCCCTCTAGCAGGAAGAAACCTTGAGAGGAACCTAGACTCGGAAGGGGACCCCATCCTCCTGTGGGCGACTGGGGTGCATGAAAATGTATTCACATTAACAGTAGTTGAAAAGTTCAAGTCCATATAAATTAAAAGTCCTAGTTGGTTCCAGATGATGGTCTCCAAGGAGCCAAGTTCAGGGTTCAAGCGGTGAAGTGTCAGCTCAGTGTTCAGCTCGGAAAAGAGGAGAAAGAGAAGAGAGTTATTGCCCTACACCTAACCTAACCTCCGGCAGTAATAAAGTGACTATGGCAGCCTGGCTAAAAGGGAGACCTGGAAGGAAGCACAGACATGAGGGTTTCCAGGGGTTTTGGCGTCAAGTCAAACTACCGTCAACAGCTTAAGTGATCAGCGAGAGTTACAGGACGACAGCACCAATCCCCCCTTTCACCTTTAATCTTAAATGACCATGAACCCCCAGATCTCACATTCACCTTAAGAAAAAGGGATTTTAATATCCAAAAGACGCAAAAGACTAAAGAGGCAAGTCTTAAGCCTTGACATAAAAGATTATTTCTGAGTTCCAAACGCTAATAGGAAGTTTATTCCATTGCTGTGGTGCTTTATGAGCAAATGCTCTTCCCCCAGAAGTAACGTTCTTTATTCTGGGTATTTATAGAAGACCTGCATCTTGCGACTGAAGTGTACGAGTCGGAATGTAGTTGCAAATGAGGTCACTCACACACTGCGGTGCAAGACCATTTAGAGCTTTGTAAGTTAAGAGTAGTATTTTGTAGTCAACACAAAATTTACCTGGCAGCCAGTGGAGTGAAGATAAAATTGGGATGATATGATCATATTTTTTAGTTTTGGTGAGGACTCTGGCTGCTGCATTCTGGACTAGTTGGAGTTTATATAATGACCAATTTGGACAGATGGAGAATAAAACATTACAGTAATCGAACCTGGAGGTAATAAATGCATGAACCAATTTCTCTGCATCTTGATAGGATAGCATGTTTCTTAATTTTTCAATATTACACAGGTGAAAGAAGACAGTACGACTAATGTTAGAAGCATGTACATCAAACGAAAGATCGGAATCTAGAGTAACACCAAGGTTTTTAACAATATAACTTGGTGCAATAGATAGTCCATCCAGATTGACTATGATGTCCGATAGTTGACTTCTGGTGGCTTTAGTGCCAATAAGAAGAACCTCAGTCTTGTCTAGATTTAACTGGTGGAAGTTGTCTGACATCCACTTTTTGATGTTAATTAAACATTCTTCCATTCTCTGAAGTTGCTGTCTATCTTATGGTTCAGCCGATATATATAATTGTGTATCATCTGCAAAGCAATGAAAGCTAACTCCATGCTTACGAATAACTGAGCCTAAAGGTAACATGTATAGTGAAAATAGTAGGGGACCTAAAACTGAACCTTGTGGTACTCCATTTCTGACCTTGACATGTTCTGAGGAATCACTATTTAAATTCACATACTTATAGCAGTCTGAGAGGTAAGATTTAAACCAAGAGAGCGCCACTCCCTTTATGCCTACAGTATGTTCAAGCCTGTCTAGGAGAATGGCATGGTCTATAGTATCAAAAGCAGCTAAGATCAAGCAGCATTAGGAGCGAGGCACAGCCTTGGTCAGCAGATAGGAGAAGATCATTTACTACCTTCAGTAAAGCAGTCTCTGTGCTATGATGAGCTCTAAACCCAGACTGAAATCTTTCATAAATCTGATTCTCCTGCAGAAATGAGGTTAGCTGACTAGCTACAACTCTCTCTATTATTGTAATGGTATTATATGTAACGGTAGTATTTTAATGGCAGATTAGAGATTGGTCTATAGCAGGGGTCTCCAACTCCGGTCCTGGACAGCTACTATTCAGTAGGTTTTCTATCATACCCAGCTTCTGATGAGCCACACTAGTTCTCAGGTAAATACCAGGAGCAGGTGTGGCTCATCAGAAGCCAGGTAGGATAGAAAACCTACTGGATAGTAGCTCTCCAGGACCGGAGTTGGTGACCCCTGGTCTATAGTTTATCATTTCCAAGGGATCCAAGTTTGGCTTTTTCAACAAATGTTTAATTACTGCTAGTTGAAGAGATTTTGGCAGATGGCTAATGCTGATTGAGGAGTTAACTATTGCTAGTAGTGGTTCAATCACTGCTGAGGTCATTTCTTTGAGTAAACTTGTAGGAACAGGGTCTAGCATACAAGTAGATGAACCAGATACCACATATCGCCTGAGTATCTGTCCATTAGCTCACTTGAGCCAAAGGAGAATTTTTCACCCCAAGGCAGCTAATAACCTCTGAAAAACAAATATTAATTTTCGCATGGAGGTTGGTTTGCAGTGAAGAATGGAGGAGAAAGATGGAACCAGGAAAAAGCATAGGTAGAGAAGTGATGGATTTCCGACCAGGATGGGGGTGGGGGGGTATCACTGAGTGCCAGGTTGAATTGGGAGCCTTGGACACCACAGCCTTTCAGGCTTCTAGCAGCCAGGGATCTTGTTAGAAGTTAATTAATCACAGGTATTGATCTGTCGTTGGCTGAAGGCTGAGAGCTTTTTGGAGCTGCAGATCTGTAAAGGGGGGGGGGGGGGGGCACAGTGAGGATTATTGCTGCTATCAGGCCCACAGACATGGTCCATGACATCCATGACAATGCCTGCCTGTCATGTGATGCTGCAACGGGCTAATCACAGAGGGTGTTTCTCAATACCAAGAATGCAAAAATCGTACTTGCGGTCTTGGCAAAACCGGTCCTGCTAACTTGTCTCCCAAGAATGAACTTGGAGCACAATGAATAATGAGATTTGTGTCATTCGCCGAGGATGCAACCAATGTATCCTTGATATTTGGGGTGGGGGTATCTGGGGGTTTCACCATCCTCTGTACTTTTGTTCTTAGTATTAGAACTGATTTTCAGCAATGGAAGATGACATAAAACGACTATGCCAGAACGCAAGTACGGTCAAGTACGCATATTAAGAAGTGCGTTACGACACTGTTCAGGAAATGTTCAGGAAAAGCAATTTTCAGTTTGTATAATTACACACTAGGCTTTCACTTTAAACAAAATTTATTCTTGATTTTAAATGGACAAATGAATTATGGTTGGAGAATTAAAAAGAAATTGGTTTTGTACCTCTAAGGTGTTCCAAAATAAGTTGGCCAAATGAGGCAAATGCAGCCGGCAGAGAGGGGGAACCTGCAGACTCTGATGTTTGTAATATCGTCCTTCAAATCATCAAATCATATACAAGTTAGGTGTTACGTCCAGCCCACCATGTGCGCCTAACCCCCTGTCTCCTCCCTACTGTGACCCTGATGAGCCATGCCTGTTACCTGCTGCCCCTCGTTAGTCTTGATATCTGTTTGTCTAGTCATCCCCAGTCCGTCATTAATGTCACTCCTCCTGTCTGCCCGTGTCCTTCCCTCTACCAGTCCTCCCGTTTTTGATCGCTCGTGGTCCCATTTGTTTTCCAGCCCCTGTTCAGTTCTGTTCTGTTTTGGTTTCAATAAAACCAACCCCCCCCCTTTTGTTCACCCAGATTCCTGTCTTTGTTTTTGTCCCACGTGTCACAACGTTACGTTGCCTAAAGATATGAATTTAAAGTAAATTTTATCTTGCACAGACAAAGGGTGACCTACTTTCAAGACTATAAGATTAGATATAGGGTTTATATATCACTTTTGGAAAGAATTGTGTCCAAATAACTATGACATAGTCAGTATAATGCTAACTTGTATTACAATTTTACGGACTATTCAAATATGGTGATGCATGAGGGGCAGCTGACACAGGAATGGCTCATCACTGCCCGGAATACCTCTGAGTATGCGCTACAGATTTCAGGATCAGTGGTGAAGGACACATTTAAACAATTATTTTTCTAATTTATCTTCCCTGATTCAGCTGTGTTGCAGCCATTGAGGATGACAACTTACCAGCTCCCTTTGGTAAATGAATGTAAATGCAGACAGTGTAAATGCAGACAGTGTAAATGCAGGCAGTGTAAATGCAGACAGTGTAAATGCAGACAGTGAAAATGCAGACAGTGTAAATGCAGGCAGTGTAAATGCAGACAGTGTAAATGCAGACAGTGAAAATGCAGACAGTGTAAATGCAGGCAGTGTAAATGCAGACAGTGTAAATGCAGGCAGTACAGCAGGTGGGTTTCAGTCTAGCCCCTGGATGAGATATATTTCACTACCTATAGCATTTGATAGAAAAGCAAGCAGTATTAGTGTCCTCCCCCAACGGTGTTCACAGCATACGGTGTTACTGCCTTTATGATGGACGCACGCACCTGTCAAACACACTGAGTAGCTCTGTGAAGGTGCGGCGCACTGCAGTTAACCACACTGATGTCGGTCCAACAGCCAAGCCCATCTGGCGACGCGAGAACACGGCTTAGACCTTACTCGGATGAGCCTTCGTACAGCCGCTTACATCCACGCAGACCTACAGACGGAACAGCCCCATGTGTCTGCCTCCCTCTGCCCGTCACGCGCCACGTGATATCCGCTCTGTGACCACAGCCTGGACACCCTACCCCGCCACATAGTGCTGCTGTTACGTAAGAAATGATTGCTTAAGCATATACGCACAAAGACATGTTCTCTGTTATTTATAAAGGATGATCAGTCTCTGCATGTGCAGGCAGCTCTGCTCTGCAATTTAGGAGAACATGACTAAAGATTTTAAAAGGCTTCAACATCTGATCTTCAAGATCAAGATATCACAAATGGACCAAAACTGTAAAACTAAAATACATCCATCCATCCATCCATTGTCTGTAACCACTTATCCTATTTAGGGTGGCAGGGGGTCCAGAGGCTACGAACACAAGCCATGGAACAACGTAGGACGGGGCACCAACCCATCTCACACTCATACACCGTCTGCACACTCATACAGTGTTTGCACACTCATACACCGTTTGCACACTCATACGCCGTTTAAAACGAAAATCTTATTTTCCAAATGTTACCATAAACAGAACAAAACAGCTGTGTTTTATATATGCATGTTTGTTTTAAAATGAGTTTTTAAATAAATTAGGTGTTTCCAACAACTAGACCAAAATGGAAGAAGTCTTTTTAATTAAGTCTACTAGCATTGATGCCATGTGAATTATTCAAGAGAAGGCTGTGATCTTGTGTTTTCTTTGAACATATTCTTTGTACTGTCTTCACCTTTTTATTTGTTCAGCCTGCTCTCAAGCACGGACCTGTTTTTTCACTAGGCTCGTGAACGGATCGGATGCCGCGTGTGGATTACCTTTTCATGGTAAAAATGAAAACCTCGGGAAATCTGCAATTTTCAGACGTTCATCTACGCCTGTTTGTCTCGTCTCTGGTTCGGCTTGAATTCATCCCGCCAGCGCTCGAGGGTTCGGAGCCTCGTCCATGCAGTCTGCAACTATCCGCTGTAGTGATAGGGACTGGCGGGGGCATGTGGGGGGGGGGGGGGGGGCATCACAGACGCCGCAAGCGCCAGACTACCAGAGCATACCAACACTGCTCCAGTCCAGTGGCTCCTCACTCCTGTACACAGGCGAGATCCCTTATCTGCCTATGAAGAGGCGGCACACAGGCATATAAACACCCACGGATCATCGCCGCAAATAGAAAGCCGATCAGACTGCCAAAGGCACGTAAATCCTCTGTGTGACGATTGGCTGTTTCCAGGCCCAGTTGCAGCCTATGTGGCGCCCTGGGTGAGCTTTGAATTACATTCATTTTGATACTACAAGGAGAGAATTGTATGACAAATATTGAATATACAGACTATAAAATCTTTTTTTCCTGTAATGGTATTGCAGCTGATTGAGTCTGTGATGGATTGCGACTAAAAAAGAATCATTTGATAGCTCACTGGCGGTGTTTTTGTTTCTGGTCCCGACGTGCCGACCTGACAGGCCGCCCGACAGCCTCGCCTTGCCTCCTCATCACGGCGCTGTCCCGCACCGGGCGCCGCATGGGCCGTGAGCACTTCCAGGGGCGCCAGAAGGCCAATCGCACTCTGTCTCACAAGTGAAATTAGCTGACGTTAGTCCCCAGGAGCCGGTCCCCTAGGCGACCGCCCACGTCAACTATTGGATTGACTGGTCTGCCTGTTTCTGCATTGTTCTGTTTTTAGTTTAACATGGAGGGACTGGCAGCACTTCTTGTGCAGAATTTTACATTCCAATTAGCCAGAAAGTCTGCTTTCCCCATATTTCTGTACATAACGAAGGGGCCCAAGTCCAGCCACTTGTGCTCATGTGCACCATGATGAAATAGGGTTATATTTTCACAAAGGCAGGGCAATGGTCGAAACAATGTGGTTTTTGCCATGTCTTATAGTGTCTGCGCGTTTCTCTACTCTCCCTAGCTTCTCCTGCAGCATGAAGAAGTGTGATACAGCCAAACCAGTGAGTCTAATTGGCCAGGTTATCATACAGTTATGTGAATGCCCTCTAATGTGCTGGCATGACCTTGAATCATATCAGTGCCACCCATGAGAAATCACCGTCTTAAGACCACATGTTAAAACTGAAAGCATCTCACTTTCCAAAACAACAGCATCCAACCCTCCCACACCCCCACACCCCATGGCCCAGAATGCATTTCAGAGTTAACACCCTGCATGTAGATGAGGCCCCTTTAAGAGCAGTGAGAAAAACGTACGACTCCTCAATTCAACAAATCACGGGAAACACCGCAGTCTTTAACTCCTTGACCCCCATCAATCCTTTCCCAGAGAGCACATCTACTGTACGGCCTCTTCCAGTCCCCCCAGTTGACTGTACTTACACTCTAACATGGCAATCAGTCCAATCAGGTTCGGCTGGATGTCAGTACCTGGGGCACTGGCTGGCATTGGCTGCTCCTCATCACCATGGAGACATTAAGATTGCTCATATTCAGCCCCATTGTGTGGTTACGCGTCCTGCTAGCTCACACAATTTTGTATTTCACAAATATTCTGCATTTTATTCATCTCTCCTTGCTTTCAGTAACTGCTTTCCCCAACAAGGGCCACAATGCTTGCAGATTGCATGGTCTTTAAAACTTTTTAGGGCCATGGGGTAGTTAGGGATTATTTCTTCAAAGCTTGGAAAGTCTTTTATGCTGACCTGCATGTGCACATGGCTGGGAGGACAACACACACAGAGACCAGCACCATGTATGAGAGAACATCCAGTGTTTGCTCCAGCAAAACCACACTATTATGAGCTATGCACAAGATATGAACAATATTTATTTAACAGATGGTTTTGTCCAAAGCGAGATACATGTATAGCTTTATGTGAAATAAGGAAAACAGTTACAATGTTGATTTGAATTTGCTTTAATACATTTTATCTGATCCATAATAAATCAACTATCAATAACAAATAAGATAGCGTGTTTTCCGTTTCTGACCCAGTAATCAAGAAATTCCGGAATACCCCAAAGTTCTGAATCATTTAATAAAGTCATCAAAAGGACAAATGGGATAACTGACCAACAGCCCAATAAATCAATTACACTCTCCACATTAATAGCTCTAAATCATCCACCTTATCACAGAATGTCAATGAGGGCATTAGTATCTGAATGAGACTTCTGTACATCCAATTAGTATGTCTGATTAACTGGCTACAAAATGAATAGTTAATTCACCAGTACTGCAGTCGTTCATGCAATTTGTATTGTTTAATGGCTGGTTATGGCTTGAGTAATTGTAAATGTAGACAGACACTGCTCAGTTCAGACTCTGTGGGTCTCACTCGCATTTCCAATTACTTAATACTTGATATTTTAGTTGAAAGCAACTCTTCTGTGTCTCCCCTGAAGCAACCTTTGATGGAAATTAAAAAATAAAATCAGCTCCGACCTGCTCTTTTTGACTCACTTTCCAATCACTTGATTTGCAGCCCTGGGGCAATGTCTTGACTGAAAATTAAAAAGTAAAACAGGCCCATAGATCTGATTTTCATGCCATTAGCAGGAGATGCCTAGAGGTAATCCTATACCCTGTGTAGAATCTGATTGGTTCTGGTCAGGGGTAAATGGATACAATTCAACCAGTCAAAAAGATCTAGGGCAGGGGTGCCCAGTCTTATCCACAAAGGGCCGGTGTGTATTCAGCTTTTTGGGATAACCTGTAGGTCAGCTGTTCAAACCCAGGTGTGAAAACTCTTTCAGCCAATCAGTCCTCTAATTAGTAATCTAATTAGGAAGTTGCAGCGAAAACCCGCATACACACAGATTGGCCACCCCTGGTCTAGGGTGTGGCCTGTCTAATGCTTCCTGAGACAGGCTTCATACCAGTACATCTCCTGGGGCTCCGTGAGTAAGCAGTTATGGAAGATGGATGGAATAATCCCATAAACCCATCCATCCATTTTCCATAACTGCTTATCCAGTACAGGCTCACAGCGAAGCTGGAACTCATCCCAGGACACCCACAATGGGAGGCAAGTCGATCGCAGGACACACACACACACACACACACAGACCTGTATTCATATCTTTGCGGGGACCATCCATTCATTCATATGGGAAAAACCAAAATCTAAAAATGACATCATTAACCCCTACCAGTGCTAACCTTAACCATAAGTAACCACACAAAATACACGTCTTTTGGCATTTTTAGTCTTTTGATTGCAGTCAAAAGATTGCAGATATTTATGACATTGAGTTTCCCTTGTGGGCACCAAAAAATGGTCCCAACATTATCAAAATAACAGGTTTTTTATCACATTGTAGGGACATTTGGTCCCCACAATGTAATGTATACTGTACCTGGATCACATACACACAGTTACACATTAATGGAAATTAGAAGATTAGTTCATATAACTGAATATTTTTCATCTTGGCAAGAAAATAGCATCTCTGGAGGAAATCCAGGCAACATTGAATAAACACGCAAACTTCTCAGATGGGGGCAGGATTCAAGCCCCCCCACCCCAGTGTGAGGGTCGCTGCACACTGTATCACCGTGACACCTAATGGTGCATTCAAGAAAATGTATCTAACAACTATTTTTGTGACTGTTTCTAATTTCATTCAACATTATACAGTTCCAGACAGAGAGACTGATTTAATTTGGCTTGGGTGAGTGAGGAACACGGATCTTCAGCGCATGGATGCAACTGCGTAACTTTGGCTGGAACATTGTGGGGGTCGAGGTCTCCACCCATTACAGGGGAAACATGATTACTGGGGGGGTTACTGTATATTGGCTGGATCTGATTATTGGGGGGGAGGGGGGGTCATAACCCCCCTAACCCCAACGGAAATTATGCCCATGCATGGACATTTGAAGACGGTGGAGTGTGTCCACCTGCTTTCACAAACCGGGCTCAGCTCAGATGCCTTTCCCATCCTCCAGTAAAGTTTTATTTGTGAGTTCAAATAAGGAAAAGCAGTTGATGAGATTTAAATCTCCCCACGTCTGACTGCCGCCCCCCGTAGCCAGAAGATCCAGTTATGGCTCTGCCTTTAACGTAATTGTGTCATAACACTGATTTCATAACTGTTTTATTTTGTGGGTTTTAGTCAATGGGCATAAAAAAAACAAAAGGACAAAAAAAACTTTCTCCTGGGAAAGAGCATCAGAGCCTAGTCACTGGATGGCAGTTTAGAGGTACTGATTCATGTAAGCTGATATTTTTGGACCAGGGGATGAAATCCACTGAGAAAATCCACGTGACACAGGTAGAGCATGCAGATGTCAGGGGCAGGGCTCAAACTCACAGCCCTGGAGCTTAGAGACTGCAGCACCATCCACTGAGGCAACTTCCGAGGCTTCAGCTTTGGGCCTCTGCACACACAGTTTGAAGGCAGTTAATAGAAATCAAAGCCTTGTAGGAGAATAACAACACATCTGAGAAGAGTTCAGTAACAGTATGTGAAGAAACATCACTCGGTCTCCATCCATCCATCCATCCATCATCTGCCGCTTGTCCGGGGTTCGGGTCGCGGGGGCAGCAGCTTCAGCTCGGTCTCTTTAACCTTAATGCCAAAGCCAAGCCTAGCATTTATTTTAGCCCTAACCCTACCACCAACTCTAACCCTAATACTATCCATAGAGATAACCTAAAATCAATCCTAACCCTACTTAACCAAACCATATCCCTATGTGTGAACCTAAGCCTAGGCTAATTATCAACAATAACCCTAAACCTCATTCCAGCCCAAACCCTACTACAACCTCATCCCTAACCTTACTGCTCATTGCAAATCCAGCACTAACCCTGCACAAAAAACCAGGCCCACCACTAAATGCCCACAGTCTTACTCCTAATGGCAGCCCCACCCATAACGTTAAGGATTAAGGTTCTTAATGGTTAAGGGTGACTGGATGGGGAATGATGAGATAAATGTCGATCCTGGGTGAGGATCCGGGGCGGCACTATAAAGAAGGAGTGTTTTCAAACATGTTAA